AGATTAACTCAGGATTTCCTCATATAGGTATAAATCACATGGTGAACGGTTAGAACTCGGTTCTGGAACCGGTTCGCGGTTCTGTGTTCGGTTCGGTTCAGAACCGCTCAGAACCGACTCCCTAGTGGAACCGCCCCATCCCTATGTGTAATGTTACACCCCCGCATTCCCCACACCGAATTTTCAACACTGCATGTGTATTTACAAAAATTACAGTGGCCAAAATTATTTACAGATTTATGGAATTTAATTATGGAAAACTTTTTTTTATTTTTATTATTATTTTTGGTTTTCTTGTTAGTATTTTCGGTGCCAACTATATGTACAATGGTAAAATTCCTTTTTTTTTAATCAGCCAATGACCAAAATAATCCATCTAGATTTATAACTGTCAAGAGTTGCAGACGTTTTCCCAACATCTATTATATAATATATATATTTATTATAAATGAATGAATATAAATATAAATTATTTATTATACAAGAAATGAGTTTTTTAAACATACAATCATATTACCTTCTTTATATTGTGTGCTATATATAAAAAAACCTTTTTAAAATATATTATAATGTAAGTGAGCATCTTACCTACAGTATATAAATAACGATTTAATAATAAGGCATATGTTTGGTTATTCAGTTATTTCTTGAATTACAATAATGTCTAGGACTTTTTTTTTCCTTAAAAAATAAAAGCACAATTCTGACATATACAGTATCAGTATATAGATCATGGAAAACTTAAACTTTCGCTCCTAATACCTACCAAAACCCACTTGATTGACTTGTTCAAATTTTACCAAAATGAAAAAAAAAATATATGTTTCATAAATTTGTCACAACAAAATTCCTTTTTATTGTGTAATGGCTTTAACCCTGTAACATATAATATTTGAACTCTGTTATTACTGGCTCATATGATCGTACTAGCATACGACAGGTGCCTATAGACATAATAAGGTAACCTCTTAATTTAGAGGATCCTTTTTCAACTATGATTCTTGAATATAGAATACCTGAATCGGTAAAACTTTTCACCATCCCTTTTGTAATCGTCTTGATATATCTGTCCAACTGTTGATACCCGTCATTCAAAATGTCATGCAACTGCTGCATCACAAATTTTTTTCCTCCTTTGACCAATACATATATTTACATTGCAACAAATGCTCTTCATTCTCATTCTCAAGATCTTTATCCAACAGGTTCATAATTTTTGTGTCTGGGTTCTTTATCCAGAATCCCTGTGCTCCACTTAACAGGCCAGTAATTGTAATATATTTGAGTTCTAATACAACATTTGATATCAATGGGCCATCCCCACTTTCAAAAACAAAAAGGTCCACAAAACCAAAGCATCTGTCACCACTTTTCTTCATTCCATCAACTATAAGATGAAGCTCCGTGACATGAAATGACATTGGAAGGAGAATTTCAAAAGTTACTTGCATCACAGCTTCGTTGGCAGTTCTTAATGACATCATAGGTCTATTTTTGAAGAAGTTTTTTGTGAGTTCTACCAGTGGATTTACAGAGCCACGTATAAGTTGATTGTATGCAGGAAGTCTGTGTTGAAAAAGATTTCTGTTGGAACTTATATAGTCCACAATTCGGGTTATAACCTAAATGAAATTAATATTATTTAGGATTTCCTTATTCGAAATATATTAAGAAAATAAAATGAAAACACATACTTCAGTCCTTGTTACTTGATTTGGGATTATCAATCTTCCAGCATAGTCACGTGTCAATATCCCAAAATAATACAAAAAAAGACCATGTGAGCTGTTGATGATATTCTATATCTTGTTCTCCAGTCCTGAGGAAATCAGAATAATTAAAATTATTTTGAAGTTTGGTAAAAACCATCCCATTTGTGAGGAGTTTGAAGAGATCGTCAATAGAGACTGGGCTCTGGTCAGCGATGCATGTGAGTATCTTTGTTGAATTTACAGCAGCTGACTTGGAAGGTTTAAAAACAAGGCTGCGACTTCGTCTTTCTCTCAAATAATGAAAAATTAGATGAATATTATATAGAAAGGGGGTTTGAGTATTGGATCTATACATGCAGCCCAAATTGGTTTGGTGATTTTGATGGTCAAAATTATTCCAATTTTGATGGTAGAAAGTAGAAATTAATTACGGCATTCACTATTAAAAACATAAGTGTAACACCCCTTTACTACATGTGTAACCCCCTTTATGACAGTGTCAAAATACTTTGGGCTGCATGTATAATTGGATCCTGTGTTAACAAAGTTATATCCAAAATCCAGCTGTCTCATTTGATCCATTGCATCATTTACTATCTGCACATTATTATCAAAATAACATTTAGCAATTGACTGTACTTCTTCTTCTGTAAAACTGCAAATTCCATAGAATTGTGATCTTTCTGAGATATCATCCAATATAAGTAGAGATGGGAAATTGCATGAAATTCCAAAATTTCATGTGCATGATGCGCATTTTATGCAATGCATTTTTTTTTTAAAAAAAAAATTTTAAATTTTTATTTATGTATATTAAAAATAAAAATTTTTTTTTTTAAATTCCATTAAAAAAAAGAAAACTAAATATATTTCAATACCACTCTTCACTATCTTCTATTCTAATTGTTTCATCTTCATCAACACCTTCACTTTCATCATCATCATCACTTTTATCACTTTCACCTCCCACATTTGCATCATCATCAATGATTGTAAGATCTATATTATCATTGTTATCATTTTTTGGACATTTTAATTTATGATTGAAATAAATATATAACAGTTTAAAAACACATTCAGATGTCAATTTATTTCTTTTCTTGTCATGTATAAAAGAAAAGGTGGACCAATTCCTTTCCGAAGCAGCTGATGAAGTAGGAACTGAAATTATACAAACAGCAAATTTTACTAGTTCAGGAGCTGCTGAAGAGAAATTACCTTTCCACCATGTGATTATATCTGTGTCATCTACTGTCTTCCATGCCAATGAATTATTAAATGGACCTGAATGTGCCTTGTATTGTAATAACTGGCCGCAAATTTTTGAAGAATCATTATAATAATATTTTTTGATGAAATCAGAAATTACATTCATGCAATTTTCTGGTAATACATGATTTTTAAACTTAGGGTTAAGAAAATAAGCTACCATCATTATAGGATTGTATATTTTTTCCCATCGTTTTTCAATGATTTCTTGAATTTCGTAATTTAAATTATCTATCAAAAAAGTTATTAATAAGATTATTACCTATGATAAAAAATTGAACATATTTAAATAAATTAAAATATTACCATCTGAATTAAAAAGATTTTGATACCAATTGTAAAAATATGCCAAGTTTAGTTGATCACTTTCATAAAATTTTATTCCATCAAATAATTTATTTAAAATAATAAGAGTTGAAACTATATTGTTCCAATATTGCTGACTTTGTATAATTAATTTTACTTCACTATCTAAATCAAATGAAGAATCAAATGATAATTCTATAATTGTAAGTTCTAAAGCTAATTTATTTTTAATAACTGATTGTAAACACATAACAGAGGACCCCCAACGCGTTTTTACAGGTAACTTGAGAGATGTTGGATATTGATAATTTGCCTTTTGATGTCTCTTAAATACTGCTGATGGAATTAAATGTGCCTTAAAATATTTAACAACTTTCTTACAATCTTTTACAACTATATCCACCCATGATATTTTAACAATATCATTGATCAAAAGATTTAAATTATGAGAGATGCATCCCAAAAAAAACACACCAGGATAATTTTTACTTAATATACCCCATGCTTTTTTCATTACACTAGCATTATCGGTCACCACAGCTGAAAGTTGTTAATATCTAAAGTTTTGATAATATCTTCTATGTCTGCAGCAATATTTTCAGCTGTTTGACGAACTTTGCCAGTAGTATTGGCTTTTAAAAAAACAGGTTTTGGAGTAGTTAAGATATAATTTGTCCAATGCTCTTGAGTGATGCTTGTCCTATAATTAATTTAATTAATTAATCATATATATTTGAAAAAAAAAGAATATATGAATGCATATATAAAAATGTTAACTACATACCAACCATCAGAAACCAAACTTATATATTCAGCACTTTCAATTAACTTGTCAACTTCTTCTTTTGTTTCAATAAAAACTTGATCAAGCAATTCATTTGAAAGTTTTTTTCTTCCGGCAATTTGAATGCAGGACGAGCTTTTTGCCACAAAGTTTTTATTGGTGCTGATTCAGACAACGAAAGAAACAAACCACACTGATATATTGATTTAGCAAATAATAATTCTAACTCATCTTGCTCTGTTTTAGAAATTCTATCAATGAAATTATTTATTGAGTGATTTTGTGAATTAGCTGTAATTGTATTAATTGATGATGATGATGATGATGATGATGATGATGACGATGCTATCAAATTTGTATCTTGAGAAAATTTTGGACCGAATAATGATTGTAGAACAGAAACTGGTACAGGACTACATTTCTTTAAATGCAGTTCACACCTTCCAACTGCATGATTTAATTCATAGTCACAATACTTGCATCGGGTCCTATTTTGTTTAAAACCATCAGTTCTACCCAAATTGACAAAATGAAGCCAAATTTTTGATTTTGACATTTCAATGAACAAAATTAATTTATACTATTTTTTTTTGAAAATTTGTTCAATTATAATTGGATAGAATTGTCTATGTGACATGCATGATTTGAAAAAAAATCATGCGCATTATGTGCATCATGCAATGCGCATGTCACATCTCTAATCTTAACATGAAGTTGGACTACCAGTTCTATAAGTTCTATAATAATAATAAATTAAGAAATTGGATAACATGCA